GTTGCCGCTGAGAAAGCTAGGTTCGTTACTTTTACGCTCGAGAGTCTCAATACGGGCAAGCATGTCAACAAGCCTAGATTATAATGTATTCTGGTTAAATTTTATTGTCTTTATTTTGGCCATAGCAGCTGCTTGACCAGTAGAAAACTGGTTTGAGAGTTCTTTGATGCTGTCATTTATGTTTTTCAGCATCTGCATGATTGTCGCTATCTGAGCGTGCTCGGAATCCCTTTCTGTTTGAGTAGATCGAGTGCGGGGTGGACCAGGGTTAGATGCAATATCACCACAGCATAAAAGGAGCAAGGAAGAATCAAAGCACAAGTGGATATGGGAGCATTATCAAGTATCGGTTGTCTGACTTTCTAGCAAAGATGGAAAAGCACTTACATTCTTGCGGAACGTAGAAAACCAAGGGGTTAGCCATGTTTCCGTGGCGACTGCTCACATGCTCACTCCTTCAGCGAGTGTAATATCCTTTAGCGAGTTCAAAATAAAAGCATGATGTTTCTTGCGCATTGCATCTAGCCCAGTTATAGTGGATAGGACGGAGCGCCGCATGCCTCCGACACGCTCCAGCTTGACCAGTGAAGTGAAAAGGTTAGAGCAATAAAACGTGCAGTCACGACGTCAGTCCACAACTCTCTGCTAACTTCTGCACTTCACTGGTACTGTACGAACGAAGTTGTTGTTCGAAGAATTCTCGCAATTACATCGTTGCTAACAGCGTACCTTTGTTGCGATCGTGCTGATGGGAACTGGAACATCCGAGTGCAGTGAATTACGCCCTTTTATAGTCTGATCGTGGCGGTGACACAAGCGCTACTTATTAGGAAGGTAAATGTTTGTGCTACCTTAAAGAAGCAGTTACATGTACATGCAGCTGCATGAAGCAGCAACATGAGCAGCTGAATGAGCAGCTGCTCATGCTGCATGATACAGCATGAGCTTTCTGATACGCACTGCATGATAGCGCTTCGCAAGACGACGGCGTAATATGTTTCCAAACCATCGCTATACGCGAAATGGACGCACAACCAATATTTGTGGCACCAATTTTCTTGAGTGCAACAAAAAGCTTACCGGTCAGAGCTTGTAATCACGGAGTGGTAACATGGAAAACGCCGTAGAACCACTATAACCATAATTTTTTTATTTGCGGCGAATATGCAGCCTTAAGGAGACATGCTGCAAACAGTGTATGTGATTGCAATTGCGGGTATACGACACTGTAACACCAGCAGTGATTAAAAGTGAAACCCTAAGTACAAACACGTAATGCTGTGTTTGTCAATCCTAGCAGTCTCACTACCACTGCTTTCTAGCGTGCTAAATTATTTTACAGGAGTTACAGCACTTCCGCGGGGCTTCTTATGCAAGTAAATTTGGCCGTGTTTGTTTTTTTTTTACTTGAGCCAAGTCGAGCCAAGCCAAGTCTTCGAAAACAAAACGACGCGTTTACACGTAATCGACAATTCACGCATGGTACTTCACATGCTGCCGTAGTTGGACGGCTTCGATATGTCATCGCTTGGCAACTTGAGCGGGTTAAAGGAACGAATTTTGGCTCACATGCATGCGCGAATTTCGGACCCTTATCAAGTAGCGCCAGAGCGACATGCTTCGACGGGCGAGAGCAGTAGCAACGAATCCGACGGACTGCCACCATCACCACTACCAGCAGCACGCATGAGTGATAGCATTTCTCGATAGAGCAGTAGGTCGATGGTATTTCGCGTGCCGCAGTGGTTGCATTCATAAGCTCGCGTGCTTCTTCCAACGCGACAAAAAAATCGAGCTACTCTGGAAACGTCGTGCACGTGCACAACTGCACTTGTTTTCCTGCAGAGGCCACGAAAACAGCACCGATTTTCATTCTCTACTTCTTTTACTCTGTAAAACGCATAGAAACGAACAAAAATGAACAATAACATACAAATCCAAAATTTAAGCCCTTGTTCTGGTGTGCTTTAACTAATCACAGGAAACTTATTAGGACTTGATATTTGTGGTTCACGGCTCTTGCGATAGGAACGTGACAAGCTGCTTTTGGTTACCTTTAAATGCGAATTGGAAATATAAATCCTACTCAGATCGCGAAAAGTATGCTGTCACCTGTCGCTATAACACACTGCGCTTTTCCTTTACACCGGACTCTAATCACCCGTTCTGACATGTTGTGGGTCCCTTCAAACATTTGGTCCCATGCAGCCACGATGATGGGCTACTCAATAGTGGCCCGTCACTGCGGCGAATTCGTTAGGCAGGCTCGGCAGCAATTATCTTGGAGTGCCATTCAGTTCATTTGTGAATTCTAGTTCACATAGTTTCCTGCAGCACGCACAAGATTACGCAAAGTATCGTTGATACACTGTCGATCATCTGACACCACTACCCCTCTGCACTGCGGCAAGAAACGAGGTAGCTAACATCCAGCCGTTCCTATTTGATTGGGAAAGTACTTTGGTTCGATATATATTCATTTGACGATCAAGATTTCATCTGGTGAAAGCGGCACCGTGAGTACGTTCGTGCCTCCTTTCTTTTTCCTATGCGACTTCACTGGTTGATCATCCTGCCGCAGCCATCTTGGATTCCATGGTGCGTCCCCTTTAGGCCGTGAGCATTGTGAATACCATGACACCAGCTTAGCTTTTTTTACTAAACTAAAACTGCAAGTTCCACGTTATTCTAAACATTCAGTACTATCAAAGTGACAATGACATTACAACAGAATTGTAATAAATTGCATCGGCTTGTTCTTTTATATTTCAATTACGCCTGTCTTATGCTTTGGAGTAAACGTTACAGAGGATTACATTACATCACGATGAATCTAGCAGTGTAGTATATTCTGTTCTGCAAACTGACCTGAAAATCCCCAACTCACCATATTTTCCAAAACGTTCTGTATTCATAATTTTCAAATAATTCACAGATTTCTGACAACATTGTGAACATCACACAAGCCTCGCCGCAGTGGTCTATAGTAGCTAAGGTACTTCAGCTGCTGACCTGCACGTCGCGAGATCAAATTCCGGCATAAGCGGCTGCATTTTCGATGGAGGCGAAAATGCTACATGCCCGTGTGCTCAGATTCGGGCGCACGTTAAAGAACCCCATGTGGTCGAAATTTCCGGAGCCCTCTACTACAGCGGCTCTCATATGAATTGGTGGTTTTGTGACGTTAAGCCCCACATATCAATTAATCGAACATCACACAAGTACTGTGCGAAGAAGGAAACATGAATTTAGCATAGTAAGATATATGGTTGAACAATTTTTACGATTGTGCGCAGCGACGTACGTTATTTCTGCATCTCAGGTTTCAGAAACAATGAAAAGTACAATGAAAATTACAAAGCAACTCACAGAATAACAATGAACAATGCAAGCGAAAAATAAATTACATTGTTTGGATTGAGCCACCAACTGCAAATAAAGCATACTCTAAAACCAAGCTCTACTATGATACTATGGGCAGTCACTTATCATGGCGAGCGGGCAAAGAGGCATATAGCTGCTTCAGTGGAGTGGTGGGCAACTTTCACACTCAGCCGAAAAGCTGGAAGATCTTACGTCCGAACCAGAATGGCTAAACAACTTCTAGCGTCTCTTCTGTTGGCAACAAGTTCTGTGGCCCTTGAGTGTAAGTTTGAATGGATGCCGAAAAAACACTGCGATATAAAAGCGGTATGTATGCGTTTTATGCAAAAATAATTCACGAATTGTTGTATGCGGCTTTTATTTCAAAGTATCTAATGATTTGCGTGATTTGCCACTTCATTAGCTACCTACTAAATATCTATAGTCACATGGGGTCAGCTGGTTGTTTCATTTTACCCCTTTGCAGCACCATTGCATACCGCAAACCTAAATAAAAATGGTTTGTTTTGTTACATCACGGGAATACGTATGCGCTTAGAGATGTGCAGCTATTCTGTTTTTGTTTTAAAATAAAAATTCTCGGCTCTGTGTGAACTGTGGTAGGCAAGCAAACCACATGGAAAGCATCACCGTAGAAGCAGTAAAATATGTAAAAGTCAGCATATCATGTCATGAAAATCCACTGTAACGCAAAAGTATTCACGGGGTAGCTTTCGGGAACAGGGAGACGCTCTTGAATACTGCTACTAAACGAACGTGAACGTGTCTGCTAGCGCCAATCAAATACTTCAACTGACTTGAAGCAATTTTCTCAGCATACATTACATAACTTGCATGAATTTGTTATGGTAATCAGTTAGAACAATGTGTGTACCGCCCCTCATTAACAGTGATAAACTTATCTGGTGTCTGCTGTTTATTGCAAATAATCTCTAAATATTTGTGTCTTGGCGCACGATAGCTTTATGCCTGATAGTTTTTTTTCGACTCTTGAGGCTGACTGTACTGCAAGATAGTATTTCTTGTTTGTATGATCCCGCATCAACAATAATAGTGGGTCATAGCAGCGTGAAAAACGTGCGCTAAAAACGAATATATACAATTATACCAAAATCAGGGTGGTTGACAGAGATTATTCTTTATTGCAAAACGTAGTCACATTTATTTATTTATTTATTCATTTGTTTGTTTAAATACCCCTAAGGCCCTGTTGGGAATTACGTAGGGGGGGGGGAGGTTACGTGGGTATATATATATTTCAAACAACATGAACAAAAATAAAGACCAAAGAATGAGAAAAAGTAACAGCGAGAGAATCGAACCACATCGCTCGCCAAAAAACACATTTACCAATGCGTAGAAACAAAACATAAAAATACTAATGAAAATTGCTTATGGACGTGCGTATATGCCAGTGGTGAGGACAAAGAAGCAGCGCGAGTGTCCTTTGTCGAGGGCAGAGACGAACAAGACGTTGCAGTCTTTGTCCTGTGATCGATAAAGCGTATTTGTTCGGGGTGCTTTGTGTGCTCGTCAATCCCGCGTCGTCACAATATAAGAACATTGCATGGCTATTGCAAACAATGACTGTAAATAAAACGAGGACAACCAGGCACAGGTTGAAATGTTACTCGCTATGCAGATAGCCCTGTAGCATTGAGTGAAATAGGGAAGGATCTGTTATTTCAGCGATGTTAGGAGGAAGGGAGTTCCACTCGTTTAAGCATAATGATAATGGTGAATATTGAAACTTCTTCGTCTTGGCGAAAAGGGAGGCCACCTCGTGCCCATGATCAAGGACGTTTGAGATATGAGGGGCAGAAAAGATATTGCACTAGGCGAAGGGTGAGTTGCTATGGTATAGAGAGTGAAAGAACGATAGTAGGGTATGTCGCTTGCGCATGGAAAGTGTTGCAATACTAAGCTGTGCGTTTAGTGAAGAAACAGTTGTATAACGCGAGTAGGATGATGACACGAACCGAGAAGCTTTATTTTGTACCATTTAGAGCTCGTTAGTAAGACCTATAAGGTTAAGGTGCCAAATCCCTGAATGTATTCTAGAGATGGCCGAATTAACGATGTGAAAGTGCAGCAGTCTTGTATTTTTATTGGCGAAGTGCAAGCGTCACTGAGGAAGGCCGAGCTTTTTCAGAGCCTTATTAGTAATATGTTCTATGTGAGCTGCCCATCTTAAATGTGAAGTACGTATTACGCCCAGATACCTAAATGACATGACTTTTTTATTTCCGAATTGTTTATATTGTAATAGCTAGAACACGCAAAAGTGCCATTTGTAAATTATACATGCTTGGTTTTTTCGACGTTAATTTCCATCTGCCAGTTGTTACACCAATTCTTTAACCTGGTAAAGTCTACTTGTAGTTCGGCAACGTTCTCTGGGGAATTTTTCTGTAAACTACACAATCATCCGCAAAAAGACGGATAGACAAAGTTATGTTACACGCTATGTCGTTGATGTATACCAGGAAGAGAAGAGGGTCCAGTACACTGGATTGAGGCACACCAGATGTTACTCTAGGTGGATCAAATCTGAAGTGGTCAAGTTTAACTGACTGAGATCTGTTCTTTAGGAATTCCTGAATCCACGTAGTCTACATAGGACATAACCTACACGTAGGTTATGTCTTTCAGTCCACGTAGTTTACATAACCAACAGAGGAGCTGGGAGTGGCTAATTGGCTACTGGAGTACACGTTTAACAGAATAGTTGCATCGCAAACTATAAACGAGGAAAATAAATGACAAAAGGCAGCTTGGGGCATCTTCTCTCGTTTTTTTTTTGTTGTTCATCACCGTCAATTTGAACCAATTTCGTTTCGTTATCTATGCAACGACTCACCCATTGTCTCAGTGCACTGAAATATGCGTACTGAATCAAATGGAGGCCAGAGATTAACTGACCGATGGTATCATAAACGGCGAACAGATTATAGAACTGCGTACTGTAATTTGTCAACCCATCCTTATAAAATAATCTCTGGCAAAATTTCTCGAACCCATTCACTTTCTATCCGCATAAAGTCTGATTGACTTCTAGCATTATATAAGTGCTCTGTGTCTACTTCCAAGATCATGGGACGGCGTTTGTTTGTACGGCAATGAATCACCTATTGAGAATATTGGTTTTCCATTTACGTTCTATACAAGCTGTTCAATTCCGCTTCTGTACTGCGCCAGTTTTTTTTACGGGAGCATGTTATTGTGTATACCGTGGCAGTATTGTAGTTTAAATGCATTTTGATTCTTCTTAAGGGCACATTTTTTCCTCTTTCACGTAGACGTCATGCGCAGTGTCTCAGTGCACAGCAGGCCAATTCCGCAAAATTCAGCAACCAACACTGAAAAAAAGGTGCTACCTTTTGCTCAGCCGTTCCATTTTTTTGAGCCATTTGAGATGCTTTAATTCTTCTGATTTATTTAACTGTGACCTCCTCAAAAATACTGCAGTTGCGAGTGCTGCTTATCAACGGAATACTGGTTCTACAATTCGTTTCCTTCATAAACTAAGGATAAATAGCTCTTCAGGATTCTTTCCCTAAGTTCCTCAGTCTGAAACATGCAAGCTTGCCCGTCGAGATATGCAGATGAAGTATGCTGATTGTCGCTCTGGATTGCTCGATCTTCTGTAGCTAAGAAATCCCTATTGTGCAGTCTTATATTTACATGTTCATGCACCTTTCCATTTAACTAAGCGACACGTGTTGAAATAGTGCATCTTACACCGAACCTCTATAGCTCTCGTTGTCGGCCATGTGTACTGAATAAAAATGCTACAAACCCGATAACTGCTATGAGATCAATCATAAAAAATATTTAATGAGGAATGTTTCGATAAACACCTCGTTCTTGCTGAAACGGCGCTAAAGTTGTCTTTAGTTACTTATACGGAGATATATGCTCTTAGTAGCAGAGGAGAGAATGAATTCGTAGTGTTTCGCTTTAAAAACTGTGGCTTTTGCAATACTTTAGGCGCTGTGCTGTGTGCCCATTCATCGCGTTTCTTACTCGAGATGTGAATAACAATATTTCTCAATGCGCCGACACCAAACGCTTTCATTCTGTTTTGTTTTTTTTTACAATGAGTGCAACAAAATGGAAATAGGTTCGAGATCGCTCAGGCAGCTCCAGCTGAGAGCTCAAGGAATGCTACTCAAGTCTTCGCAAAAGTACTACAGAACATTGTAGTACGAATGGCAGGGACGTTCTCTTCTCAGTTTTTAACGGATATGAACACAACACGTTTTGGGTTATTTAGGCCTCCAAATTTATTTATGCGTATAGATGAACTTTACACAAAGTGAAAAATAGAATACGGGATAGACAGACAGCGATGTCGTCCTTATGATTACAGCTTGCTGTCCCCTCAAGTGATCGTTTGCGGTATACAATTCATCCCACACAGCTTTATATCGCACAGAGTAACGTTCCTTCATATTGGCGTGCACACTGTTTAGTATATGAAAATTAATTAATACATTGTGTGATTGTTGTAAAACTGAACAAACTGCTTTAAAAGGCCTGCGAAATTGTAGAAACGTGCATGTATTATTCTATCCTCGGCTACCTTGAGTAGTTGGAACTTAGTTGCATGAGCGCGTCCTCTAGTGCGTTATATCTGTGTCCTTCTTTTTGTGCCATTTCGGCATGATTTGTATATTATAAGGAACGCTACGTATTCGCTGGCAATGATTGGATACTGTACGACACTTTCACCCAATACCAGAACTTATAGCCACGACCCTACTGCAATTACCTGTGGTAGAATTTTACTCATTCTTGTTTCAGTTCGTAAATACGCCGTGTAGAATCTGGACATACAGCACAAGTGACAGCAGGCATATTGAATGCAAAGTGGACATCAAACAATTTGCGACCGCGACGGCGATATTTTTTAATGAGTGGTTCAAAATGGGGACGGTAAAGTAAGAGCTTTTCTGGCGTGTTTCTTACCTATGGGTTACTACTGAACAAATCTTTATTCTATTACAGGGTTTACACTGCCTTCAAGGGGCAATATGATGTGAAGCAGAAGGCTTGTATGCTTGTTTATAATAAAGGTACTGTATATTTATGAAGCGTAACATTTGCGACAGTTTCGCAAATGCCTATTGGTCTAGTGGCTAAGGTAGTCGGCTGCTGACCCGCAGGTCGCGGGATCAAATCCCGGCTGCGGCGGCTGCATTTTCGATGGAGGTGAAAACGCTGTGGGCCCGTTACTCCGATTTGGGTGCACGTTAAAGAACCCCAAGTGGTCGCAATTTCCGGCGCCCTCCACTACGGCGTCTCTCATAATCATATCGTGGTTTTGGGACGTCAAACCCCACATATCGATCGATCAATCAATCAATCAATTAATCAATCAATCAATCAATCTCTACAGACTTTTCTTTTGCACAGCGAGCACCAAAAGAATGCTTGAAAAAAGTTGGAGCATGAAAAACTAATGTACGCGAAAGAAACGTATGTTTTCAACGTAAACAAAAGATAACATAGAAATAAGGTACTTTAAAATATTTTCTTGAGCTTGAGTTTTGCTATTCGAGCCTTCAGGCTACCGCGATGAAGACTTCAAAGCGAGTTCTGGCATCACCAAAATAAGTATGGCGCTGACGCTATGCATGTCTAACAGCTGAAGTAGTGGCTTCCCAATCACCCCAATAAACGCGCAAAAACAGCATGCCATGAAACCAAAAGAAGTGTCACGTCAAGTCGTGTTAAACCAATGTGAAAACCTGCCGTGCTCGGCTTCTACAGGTTCGAACACAACCAGCACCTCTACTGAGGTTTGTCGTTCATTGTTGAGGATGGTATGCTTGTGCAAATATAAAAATTAAAACAAACCATACAACAGAAATCCACAGCAAGACGTCGTGGTAATAAAAGGGATGACCTGGAACCTTTTTTCTTAGCTTATTACGGAGAAGTGTTTGCTAATGTTGCTACCATCAGACAGCCCTCTAACAAGCGCCAACGGGTCCATGTGGTGAGCGATATAGAAATTTTTCACCTCACTAAAATACAAAATATTCTGATCGCAATGTCTGAACAGCGAAGCTGTTAAAACAGATAACTGCTAAGGAACCGGAAGTAATGTGTCTGGTAACGTAAGAAACCCTTATGCGCCATCGCCATAGCAACCGCCACACCTGCGTGCCATCGGTTCTAAGAATAGCTAAGGCGATGCTGTCTTGAGGAGCAGCCGCTGCGAAGCAGTCCAAAAGCATCCAGCAGAGTTTGTGACACCGTTGCTTAGGGACAGCGATTTCAGCACATTCAGTGGCGAACTTTGCGCGTATTGCGGATCTGCCTATCGACGTCTCCTGGCTGCTGCTTCTTCAGCCAGCCGCGATGTATCCAAGCACCACCATTGTTGTGATATCCGTCTTTCCACCACGACGAAAAAGGATGAATCAGCTTCATTGCGCTAAGTCTGTACACCGTAGTTCAAGTTTTCCGCAATAATTTTTCGTTCGTGACAAATACGACTTAACTATACGAGCATAGAAACCTAAGGGCTTCTAATAAGTTAGAGAGCCCCTTAAGACCACCGGGAGTGTAAAACATGCAGGATTAGAAAAGCAAGCACTCACATGCAGGCTATTTCTCAATCTGTTCATGCATAGAAAATATTCCGTCTACCTGGTGTAAACGACCACCGTTAGTGTTCGCGCAACGTGTACAGCATATGTGAATCAAGTCGTGTTTTTTGAACGTCTCTGACTTATACAAACGAACGTTGTTGCCGCGAGTACTATTACACAAGAACGTCAATTGTGGTGGCGACTTATTCAAGAATGCTGAAAGTGCTCGAAACTACTTTGGGCAAGGTCGCGTTCCTTTTGACTATATTGACGAACTCTTTCAGTGAGATTACTGTACATTTTTTTATGAATCGCAGAAGTTCTTTTAATGTTTACCTTTCAATGAAACTTTACAGCACCACTTTGTAACCGAAGATATTCTTGCGTACTCTTTTGACCACCAGTTTCTGTGCCCATAACTGTCGTCTACGCAGCGTAGACGTTGTTCACAACTGTAATTACAGAAAATTCATTACGATAACGAAATGTTCCCTTCAAGCAGAGAAGGTGATAACAGGGCCTAAAGGAACCCTGGTATCAAGTCATAAATTACGCATACCCCCTCTTACAGGTACAACCGAGCTGCAGTGTATGATGTACTACAGTAGGCGCGAAGGTTGTGCTGTTGTTCAAGTTAAGACCCATCAAGGTATGTTTCTACTTTTCTACACTCTTACTAACAATATCGAACTTGAAATTTACTAAAATGTTACCTCATCTTCCTCATCTTTAAAGCCAATGAATGTTGTATTCAATAGATATAGTTCCTGTTTTATGTTTTTCTAATCAGGAGAAGTTATTCTTTTGTGTTGGTGGCTACATGGAGTATGAGTTGCAAGGCTCTTCTTATTTCTTTTACAGTATTGAAATTACAATATTGAAATGATAAGTAGTAGTTTTCAAAATGCCCCTTTTACGCTGTCCCCCCTTTCTCATACTTCTATGCACTGTACTTCATCCACCCTCCTAAGTTTTTTGTAAGTTCGCATTTTGCATGTTTCTCTTTCCACGTGACCCTCACATCTGGTGAGCTTTCTTTCGGCGCAGTCTTTCTTCGATCCCCGCAGAACTATTCGTCGCGTTTCCTTTCAGGAAGCTGTTTTAAGTATCTCGCTAATAAATTTACGTCATTCCTAAGGAAAGACACCTCGCACCTTCTCTACGTGACATTCACGCGTGACATTCACCAATACATTTCTCTACGAGAAATGTATTGGTGAATGTCACGCCTTCTTTCGAGGGTATGCAACGGATACCGGAAATGCCAATTGCAGCCAATGTTTTAGTCTCGAGAATCATGAGGCATTCCTGCTGAGTTTAAAAAAAAGTCCCAACTTTGCCACAAAGGCAAAGCAATGAATGCGAGAACAACAAATTGGAAGGTCACACGTAGAATTGCAAGCATATCGAAACGTGCCTCACCTTTCTCACGCACAAATGATGCAGGAAAAGTACTCACAGGTACAGATTAACGCGAATAAGCGTCTCGGTTGTTACATCACTGTGTCTGAAAGGCACGCCCTTTTCGCAAACGGAGGCTTTGCAACGATTGCAGTGACCCTTTGTGCACCTCATAACTACAAGAGAATTGTTTCAGTGCCTCAACGCCAGCCAATATGTACGATCCTGCCCACCAGGAGATGACAGAGATCATTCCTTCCCTCCTCTCCGCGGGCCAAAGTTCGCGTGAGAGATGAGAGCTGACGCGTGCTCATTGCGCCATCCTGCTGATAATACTGAAGTCACGATAGTACTCCTCCCCTACGGAGGTGCCCACCAACAGCGGTAAGTGGTAGATATAAATAGCTTGCCGTTTGAAAGTAGAAGGAGGCCCCGCTCGGTGGCTTGGTGGCTAACGCTTCGCATTCACGACGCGGAGGTCCCTCGTTCGATTCTGTGCGCCGAAGTCTTCTATCTGATATATATATATATATATATATATATATATATATATATATATATATATATATATATATATATATATATATATATATATATATATAGGCAGGTATGGTGGTTGAGTGGCCGTAGCGTTGCATATAGTCCCGTAGATCCTCCGTGAGCGGTCACAACGTGGTTTATTTCGATGTTACGGCCTAGAGTCTGGCCTTTGTCAGGATCCTGATGAAGGCCAGACCCTAGGCTGAAATGTCGAAATAAACCACGTTATGACCGCTCACAGAGGATTTACTGGACTATATATATATTGACACGCGTTGCACCGCGACAATATATATATATATATATATATATATATATATATATATATATATATATATATATATATATATATATATATATATATATATATATATATATATATATATATATATTGAAACGAAAATGCGCGAGCCGACGGGGCGCGGAAGGAAGAAGAAGAAGAGTAGTGGAGCGGGGCTTGGACTGTGTGGTTGGGTGAAGCGTTCTAGGCCTGTCTCAGAAGTACGCTGCTCTTTCACAACGCCATTTCACCTCATCTGTAAACACAGTCACTCGTAACAGTTTGGTGGAAGGTGCCGGGTACATCGATCTGGACGACCAAGCTCTACCAATTTTGCGACGGAGCAGACCCTTGGCAGGCTTGCCACCGCAGCTACCAGACATGGAGGACGCGGGAGCAGGCCATAACAACCTGGTTGCTGATGAGCAACATGCTCACCATCCAGGACAAGCTCGCTGCTGCATGCCGGAGCGTCAGCCGAGGACCTTTTCGGGGCAGCCAGATGACGATGTTGACGACTGGCTCAAGCACTACCAAAGAATGAGTCGCAGCAACCGCTGGAGCACTGCTAAGCAGCTCGAGAACGTGGTGTTTTTTCTCGTCGGCACCGCGTCTCTTTGGTTCGACAACCATAAGAGTGCATTGACCACATAGGACATTTTTGTGGACGAACTGAAGAGGTGTTTTGGTGACTCAACAGCTGAGGTCAAGCAGGCGGAGCAAACGCTTTCACGCAGAGCTCAGTTACCTGGCGAAACATGCACCACCTACATCGAGGCAGTCTTGAAGCTCTGCGGAATCGTGAGTGCGACCATGTGTGACGAAGATAAGGTAGGTAATTTGCTCAAGGGAATCGCGGAAGACGTGTACAATTTTCTTATCACTAAGAAAGACTAACGCACACCTTTCGACCTAAGAAGACACTGCCGAGCGTTTGAAGCGCTAAAGAGGAGGAGAGTCCTACCGAAATTTGGACGTCTTGAGAATGTGCCCACAATTGCAAGTGTCAACCTTCCATCGCAAGACGACATCTCTTCTCTTAGAAGACGAGTGGTTAAGGAAGAACTTGTTCAACTGCGAGCTGTGGACACCGCTGGTCTCTGCCATCAGTGTGCATTCGACCGACGGCCCCGTGAACCACCGGTACCTCGTATGCGACAGAGCTACTTTGAGCCTCGCCCGAATTACACCGATCGGTTCGAACGAAGGACTGAACGACCACCCGAAAACCAGGAACGCAGGCAAGCTGCATCACAGCGATTTACTCCTCGGCCACCATCGCCCTGCTTTTATCAACCGACGAGGTCTACTTCGCCGGGGACGACTAGACGCGACACCCGTACTTGCTACAACTGCGGGCTACCTGGACACATCGCTAGGTACTGCTACCGTCGCCAGCAGCGAGCTCCACGATTTAACGTGTACACGCCCTATGTACCTGCTGGCGAGTCTCGACCATTTCAGGGCTCTTTCCAACAGCAACACGCAGCACGTGCTGACTCGCCTTGCTCCGACCGCAGCGTTACCCCACCACCCGCACGTCAACAGCGATCCCCGTCTGCGCGTCGCCGCTCGGGGACGCCACCACCACTGGGAAACTAACTGGTGCGACCAATGGGGGCGAGGCCGCAAAATCATCTTCCGCAAGACCCCCTTGTGCTGTAATGGTTGAGAACAAAGTGAGTGTTTTTGTAGACAATGTGAATACTGTTGCACTAGTTGATACCGGTGCTGCCGTTTCCATAATGAGCATGTCTTTTAAAAATCGCCTTGGGACGAAAGTAATGTTTGCTTGGAATCGGAGTGCTACGTGCACTCCGATTAACAAGCACTTTAAAGTTTTAAATGACTTGCTGTGTAAAAGAAACTATTCAGCCGATGGCCTCCCGTTGCTTCTAGTGGTGCCGGAAAGCCTGCGCCAGGTCGTCCTTCGTTCTGTGCACGATGACATAACATCCGTTCATCTCGGTTTCACACGTACGCTACATCGACTACATGAGAGGTTCTACTGGCCGAAAATGTGGAAGACCACAAAACAGTACGTCGCCAGCTGCGCTATATGTCAGCGCCACAAGCGATCCACCACTGCCCCGGCAGGTTATTTGCAGCCCATCCCTCCACCGACATCTCCTTTTGAAAAAGTCGGCATCGACTTGCTCGGACCCCTTCCTAAGACCCCATCGGGCCACCGATAAGTTGTAGTGTGCGTGAATTAGTTAACGCGTTATACGGAAACGGACGCACTGGCATCGGCCACAGCAGCCGCTGTTTCTTCTTTTCTGTTACAACGGGTCATACTGATGTATTTGTGGGGTTTAACGTCCCAAAACCACCATATGATTATGAGAGACGCCGTAGTGGAGGGCTCCGGAAATTTTTACCACCTGGGGTTCTTTAACGTGCACTCAAATCTGAGTACACGGGCCTACAACATTTCCGCCTCCATCGGAAATGCAGCCGCCACAGCCGGGATTTGATCCCGCGACCTGCGGGTCAGTAGCCGAGTACCTTAGCCACTAGACCACCGTGGCGGGGCAACGGGTCATACTGCGTCACGGTGCTCCACGGGTTGTCATCAGTGACCGTGGACGACAATTTATCGCCGATGTGGTTGAAGAAATTTTGCGCCTCTGTGGCTCCTCGTATCGCCACTCCACCCCTTACCATCCGCAAACTAACGGTCTCACTGAGAGAACAAATCGAACTCTCACGAATATGCTATCGATGTACGTTGATGCTGACCACAGGAACTGGGACGCCGTCTTACCGTTTGTTACTTACGCGTATAACACCGCCAAGCATGAAGTTACTGGACATTCGCCCTTCTTTCTGCTTTACGCACGAAATCCACAGAGGTTCCTGGACACTCTATTACCTTTCTCACATCAGAAAGATCTGTCCATTGCTCAGACGTTGTGTCGCGCTGAAGAAGCACGTCAACTAGCGCGCCTTTGAACATTGTCTTCGCAAGAACACAGCAAGAGTCGCTACGATGCCAAGCATATCGCCGTAGAGTTTTTTCCTGGTGACAACATGTGGCTGTGGACTCCTGTTCGTAGAAAAGAATTGTACCGGAAATTTCTAGCAAACTATTCCGGCCCATTCGTGATAGTCACACGTCTCAGTGACGTGAATTATGTTGTCGCTCGAGTCCCATCCAATAACCACGCGTTCGAGCACTACGCAAATTGTTCACGTAGCCCGCCTCAAACAGTACCATCATAGGCCTATTTAACGAAGCTCGCCGCCGGGGGAAATGAAACGAAGATGCGCGAGCCTACGGGGCGCGGAAGGAAGAAGAAGAAGCGTAGTGGAGCGGCGCTTGGACTGTGTGGTTGGGTGAAGCGTTCTAGGCCTGTCTCAGAAGTACGCTGCTCTTTCACAACGCCATTTCACCCACCTCATCTTTAAATAAACAGTCACTCGTAACAATATATATATATATATATATATATATATATATATATATATATATATATATATATATATATATATATATATATATATATATATATATATATATATATATAACAGCGCCTATGCCGACGCAGGCAGTAAAATCCAGCCGAGAGTGTCCATATAATGGCTATCGCAATAAAAGGTGGGAAGCCTGCACTCAGTCGCGCAGAACTCTGCTGAGTGAAAAGCACGGGCCCCCGTCGACCTACCCGCCTAGCTTCGAGATGCACGGCTTCCTCCTAAAGAAAGAAAGACACCACGGAGAAAGGCAGGGAGATTAACCAAGCTACGTTCGATTGGTTATCCTGCATGCGGAAAGGAAGAATGATAGATGAGATGGAGTACGTACCACATAACCACACCTCATGGCTCTCTCGGCGCGATAGAGTGCAGACTGGCTATGCAGTGAAACGCGGAGGTTGCGCGCAATTTCTGCGTCGGTGGGCGTGCCAGAGGTACCACGCTTACGTAGCTTGGCCAGGTTGTGCGCTATGTGGTCGCGATGATTCGTTGCTCTTTTTCATATTATCATTCTTTCATTGATCATCTGTCTCTCTTTATGTATTTTTTATTTCCACATCTCTCTTATTCGTTCATTCAGTGATGCGTTTTACTCTCTTCTCTCCTCATTTCTCGCCTCCTAATCCCCAAGCCTCTCCTCCTTAAACGTTTACTTCCCTTTCCCATCCGCTTGATGTGTAAGCTGGGTACGAGAGCTTCTTGCGTGTTACACTATCCCTCGTTCCCAGCTTGTGCGACATCTGCATCGTGACTTTTCAATTATGTACATTTTGAAAACTTTGTTAGGTGTGGGCACTAAATCTTTCAACAGTTCACTTTCTTTCGTTTTAGGACAAACGTATTTTGATCTTCGAGTTCAAGATCCCTACTTGAAGGAAGGCCCCAGCTCGAAATGCGTTCAAAAATTTGCGAAGTGGGCGCCACAAGGGCGGGATATATATGACGTTAGTTGTAAAGGTATACTTTCTCGGAACAAAACATCTGTTCAACAAAAATGAAAACAAGGTGATCAATCATGAATAAAATAGCGTCATACTAGGAGTTTATCGTCATACTATATTGTCATAATATATCGTTATACTAATATCGTCATACAAGGATTGAATGACTTAGCGGAAAGAAGACAAGAAACCAATAGATATGCACTGCATCACTGGCCATCTGCTCAATTAAGCATATTCTATGAATGTTTACAACAGTTTTGCTGTTTCTTGCTCTCCAATGTCTTGTTTCCCAAAAGTTTTCTTTCTTTCTTTTTTTTTTGCTGCTAAGCAAGTAGCCCTATCAAATGAGTTGTTCGAAGCAGGTACTGCAAATGCTACCGCAAAATCCATAGCAAGCACCGCCCTCCGTTCTTTGCCACACTTCAAAAACGTTCCCCCTTCTCCGCACCCGAAATTGTCGCTGTTTTATTCACTGTTTCTATGCTGCCAATTAGAGCGAACTGAAAATATTGAATGCATGCGTATTCTGTAAAGCATTTAATTAGGCGTGTGCATTCTGTAGTTTTAGTTGCTCTTCAACTGCCAAATCAAATACTGCCCATGACCAAACAGCCCCCCCCCCCCCACACTCCAAATTTTGTCGAATTGTCTTTCACCGTATGGGTGGGGGGTGCTTTCTCCGTATCCTAAAGTAATTTTCTTGCTAATAATCAGTAAAATGAAGAAGTGAAACCTACTTCAAGTCGTTCCCCTATTAGGTGAGTAAAGACGCAAAATGCAGTTGATACAGCAGTTCAAATAACACCGAGCTGCTTAACCAACAATAGACTTTGAAACGCTTCGCTTTGTGTGTGCGGCTATTTTCATTTGCAACTAGGCAAATGCAGCAAACTGCGCATCAAATATGATGTCACATGCATAAGCAATTTTACTCGGGGCAGAATGAGTAATTACAGGTGTAAATAGTGCTGCCCCGTCGTATGATTTCTAACTGAAGTTGTGTGAATAGAAGATGTGTCTAATGAAAACAAAAAATGCGGCCACGTTCCACATAAACCATGGGAATGAATGTTATAGAAAGCATACGAAGGGAATGGGACAGTGGTGCGAATTGTTTTTCAACGAGGTGTAAAAAAATGGTGCCAAAGACAAGTAGAATTCTTTTAAACGCGCAGACATTTTTTCAACAGCCGCACATGTTTTACATAACCACTTGTTTACAAGTCAGTAAGGAAGCAAACAGCAACATAACTATTATGAAAGCCAGAAGTGGTAAGCTGATATGTAGCGCTTGTACATGCGAGAATCGTAGCGTTGGGGTGCTATGCAGGATCGGCCAAATTTCGCCCGAGTTTCACGAAACTCGGGACCTTTCCGAGCTGTCACGACACCCCCTTTTGAATGAGCCAAGAGCACGAAGACGTCAAAGCTACCCTTCAGTGCCCGCCTTTCATTGGTTACGATGGAACCATGCATTGCGTCAAGGACGGTCGACTAAGTTGGGCAGTGTTTTCAAACCAGAAGCTTCTTCTTTCATTTGTTTGTCGTTCCACTGAGTGTGGAAGTGCACCGGTGCAATAAATGTGTCAAATACTTAGCGCGATGGTCCTATTTTAGAGGCCCAGAGTGTTTATATGTATTTTGAAGTTTTTAATGCCTGCACTCAGTCTATTTCAGAATAATCAGCACGGTGGCTTCTGAGATTTGTACCAGCCGAGCGTCTTAGAAGATCGCGACCACTGCTAAGCCCGAGGCCACGTGTTATTCATCATGGTCTGCCTGTACATTCTAGCGCGCGGCTCGACTGGTGCGCGCCGTCTTTGCTGTCATCATCCGCTCGCACCCGAGAACGTGAGACTGTCTAATTAGCTATTTGGCTGGGCAGTATACTTGGCAAGTTAGGCAGGGACATGGCATGACCAAGCTAAATACGCCAAGTCATGGTAAGGCCAAGGCAGAGCGTAGACGATGGATAACATATTGGGCCCGCCCCCCCCCCCCCCCTCTGAAAATGCTTTTCACCGTGGCATAGGGAGCGAAATATGAATATTCAAGGAGTCCCCTTCCGAAATCAAGTAGGTTTGCTCCCCCCCCCCCACCCCGAAAAAAAATCCTTGGTTGACGCCTGGGCTAAGATAATTACGGCACATCTTGAGAAGTATGCTAATGAAGCCATGTAAAGCTGGGACCGGGCTTACTAAAGCGTGCTAGCTGATGAGCTAACTAAACTTTCCTAATTAACGCGACGTAAATTATGAGCATGCTAAGTGAAACAATCTTAATTACATTTTACTAATGTGATGACAATTAGTATACTGCTAATCAGAATTACGTTTATGAGCTTCATATATATGATGGTCTTGCTGATTGCGCCCGAGATAATTGCTATTTAATTGAAATATTATGAATGAAGACAAAACAGCCTAGTGTAATGGTCGTTGTCTTAGTGAATTACTAAAATCAAAGTTTGGAAAGAGCTGATGTGGTCTTCACTTTAAAGCCGACCTAGCACATGAGTACATGACCAACTTAAGAACCTACAAGAAGCTAGGCAAGCATTGAAGGACTCTGGTTATACCAAGCTCCTCCATGGCTCTAGCCTTGCACAGGTAGTGGAAGCTCACCAAATTATATTATATGCAAAGAAGGTGCCGCTTAGCATTCACGACATCAAACGCTTGACAGTCCCCTCAACACCATGAAAATAATGGCTTGAACTGGTGCCTCCTGAGAACCAACAAGTTTGAATTCTTAACGCGTCAATCAGTTCGATTGACAGACGCCCGCGGCTAAGATTGAGTTAGCCACCACGTTTTCTCTTGCCGAAAAGCAGCACTCACGTCGAGCGGCACAATCAACCACCTTTATCGCGCAGACTGTGCACACAGGCACGCAGAGGTAAAAGTGATATCATCACGCGGCTATGATGTCTCGCATTCGATTTCACTGCGCTCAGGACGTATCCAATCACAGCCGCGTTGCCGCCATGATGCGAGTGCCCCTGGTGACAACCTTTCCTTATATTTATCGGCTATATTTGATAGAAGCAAAATGGGCAGCCCGAAAGTGTTGCGTGTGGACCCCTGCTGCCTTCGAGAGTAGAAATTTCGATGCTGTAGTTGGAACGAAAGAACCTGTTCGAAAGAGAACGGACGTCCACGAACGCAGCTGTGGGAGGCGCGTGTAGAATTGGCAAAAATATAGCGGAACAATAACGCTGACGTCACTGCACTGTTAAAAGAATGACTGAATGGCTGCGCTGACGTGTTCTAATGCGGTGTTTCTTTGATAACCGCCTCATGCGTTCCCAACGGCACGCACTTTACTGTGGCCATTTTTATCGACGCTGCTATTACGCGCTCCGCTTCATTCATGCCATGGCGACCGCAGAGCGAGCTTGGGGTAAACCCGTCAGCCCGAGAAGCTGAAATCATCCTGCATAGCACCCTTGAATTGTCCTACGTGGACTTACTTCAGTGGATGGCATTTAACTACAGTTCACGTTAACGCGATGTGATGGGTGTGTTGTACAAATGTATGCAATGTTCATAAAGTTAGACAGCACCATTGCAACCTCATTTGACGTTTCACCAATGCCACGCGTGCACAGGGTTTTTTTTTTCAAAGCAGTTTCTGGACTTGCGTTGCTTTGTAGTAAAGTGTTTCATTGCCACTCTCACTAGTGGTTGATTTCTGCTAGGTCATTCATATTTAATCTTTGCATCCGTCGCGTCAGCACTCCCGAATTTAAATTGCCAGTGTGTGCTGTCACCGTTCTTTGTTAAATATGAACCGTCAATCACTTGTGGTGCATACCCGCCGTCCACAACCTATGGTATACGCTTATTTATTTATTTATTTATTAGAATACCCTCAGGACCCGTAAGGCATTACAGAGGGGGTGGGTACAACATTTTATAACACACAAAGGAATAAGGACAAGAAAAAAAGACAAAGAAAAGAAACAAGTGTCAGATGCGCAAATCACGAAGGTAACATAAATCAACTAAAAATGTATAAGTAAGAATTCAAGCACATACAAGACAAAGATAATGGAAACTGCGTATAGTTACAAACATTGCTGAGAAATTGCAGTCTTGAATAACAAAGGGTCTGTTATTGTTACAACGGAAGAGGGAAGGTGGTTCCAATCGGCGGCTGTAACACTTATCTGGCGAAATGGGTATGATAACGTACGCGGCCAAATTTTCACGTTATTCTTGTCAAGGCCGCCCTGTTATGTTCTTCGAACCCTCGTACAACGTCACAGTCATTTTGGTCCGTCTCAAGTTCTGGAGGCGATCACTAGAACAGACAGACAGACAGACAGACAGACAGACAGACAGACAGACAGACAGACAGACAGACACACAGACAGACAGACAGACAGACAGACAGACAGACAGACGACAGGACAGACAGACAGACAGACAGACAGACAGACAGACAGACAGACAGACAGACAGACAGACAGACAGACAGACAGACAGACAGACAGACAGACAGACAGTGTAGCAAATCAGTCGGACGCTCCGCTGGGAAACGAACGTAAGTTTGTTGAAGCCCAGTCCTTTTATAGAATGGCTGTGAACTCGTGATGAGGCCACCGCTGCTTGCGTGGGTGTTTAGCGATAAAATGCACATGTGACGTCAGTACACAACACTTCTTCCTTCTAAGATTAGTTATACAAAATATACAAAGCTCCGTCTGGCTATTCCTTAATTCCATAACGTAGAATAGACCATCGAATGCGCGTAGACCTTCGCGGCGCGATCGAATTTCGGCCGACCTGCTCCGGGCTTCCCTCTGATGCCTCCGCACTCGTCAACTGCTGTTGTTGGCTTGTTGTGCTTGGCTCTTGAGCAGCTTGACGTGGGCTCACTGCTACATTTGCTTCTGGGAGCGTCGGGTGTGGTTGGGGTCGTGTTGCCGGGGGAAAAAGCGCGGTGGGGCAGCCCACCCAGGTACCCTTGACTGCTTCGCTACTTATCCAGGCACTTCTCAGTTGGTTCCGATGTCAGTGATGGCGCTCGCTGTTATCCAACTGGACCGTGTACGACGCCGGGCCTCTGATTTCCACCACTCTGGCAGCTTTC